GGCAGTGCTCAGGACCCCAGGGCAGTTACGGGAGGGGTGTTTGGGGCAGTTACAGGGGGAGGACGCTCGGGGCAGTGCTCAGGACCCCAGGGCAGTTACGGGAGGGGTGTTTGGGGCAGTTACAGGGGGAGGACGCTCGGGGCAGTGCTCGGGACCCCGGGGCAGTTACGGAGGGGTGTGAGGGGCGGTTACGGGAGGGTCTCATGTTCACTCACCTCTCATAGAGGGATTTCCGCTGGGGGCGCCGGGACTGGAGAAAACAGAAGAGAACGTCATCCCCTCTGAGTGCAGCCCACCCCACGGGCTGGGAACCCCGGCATCCGGGCCGCAGCTCAGCATGCCAAATCCTTCCCTTCACCCCCTGCCCCAACTGTTCACAACACCCCTCCCAGAGCCGGGGAGAGAACCCAGGAGTCCCGACTCCCAGCCCCCCCTGCTCTAACCCACCACACCCCACTCCTCTCCCAGAGCCAGGGAGAGAACCCAGGAATCCTGGCTCCCAGCACTCCCTGCTCTAACCACTAGCCCCCACTCCCCTCCCAGAGAACCCAGGCGTCCGGGTACCTCCTGGCACTCATCGTCGGCTGACAGGCTGCGCTGGAAGGGCTGGAAGGTGGGGGCTGGTCCCTTCTCAGGGTCCTAGGGGGAGACACAGAGTTAAGAGGGGTCCGAGGAGGGGGTCTCGGCCCCACGGCGCCTCCCACCCCTCCCCCGCTCACCTTCAGCTTCCCCTCCAGCGTCCGCGAGCGCTTGAACCCGCAGTTCTTGTTCTCCGCCTTGATGGCACTGATGGCTCCCGTCTTCACCAGCATCTTGGCCTGCTCCGTGGCCGTGGCCGTGTCCACTACGGGCTGGTCCGAGATGGCTGGGGGGAGGGGCAGGGATAGAACCCAGGCGTCCGGGCTCCCTGCTGCAACTACCAGCCCCCACTCCCTTCCCAGAGCCTGGGAGACAACCCAGCCATTCGGGCTCCCCACTGTAACCACCAGCCCCCACTCCCCTCCCAGAGCTGGGGAGAGAACCCAGGCGTCCTGGCTCGCAACCCCGCCCCGCTCTAACTCACCAGCCCCCACTCCCCTCCCAGAGCCGGGGAGAGAAGCCAGGAGTCCTGACTCCCAGCCCCCCCGCTCTAACCCACCAATCCCCCACTCCCCCTCCCAGACG